TTTATTTCCTTACTTTGCTTCTTGATTTTGCCCAGGAGTGCAAAAGGCTAGGTGTGGGATAATTTGATGAGTCATTATATTCCCATATTTTCTTACCTTTCTATACTTATTTTAATTAGTATTTTTGGCTTAACTATCTGTTATTAGTAAATTTTTATTAATTGGGGTTCATTGGGCCAGTAATTCAGATTTTAATTAATTTGAATCTATTTGATCTAATTTTTGCTCATTATTATTTTCAAGACAGTTTAAAGCAATTTTGGGCTTGGAAGATTGGGTCAGATGCCATGTCAGTTGTCCATTAGGATTAGGGTTTTTATCTTATTTGTTTTTTATGTGTTTTATGGGCCAGTTGGGACCAAACCTAGATTAAAACTAGGGTTTAGGGTTATTTATGTTAGTGATCACGTAGGGTTAAAGGAGGCACATCACGCGGAGGCACATCATTGAGTCGCATCCTCAGAACGCCAATTTCATCTTCTGAATTTTGTATTTAAGTTTGTTTACCCTTCTGTCATTATTTTAAATTCTTGTTTTGATTTTAATTATGTCTCTTCTTCTACGTTTTCAATTTTTCATGGATAGTTAAATCTTTGTATTAATTTTCTAAGGAGAATGCAGTAGATCTTTGAGGTTTTGTTCTCCTATTTCGTTTGTTGTCTTAACTCTTCATCTTCTAATCTCAGTGTTGAATTATAATTTGTTTATGCTTAATAAACCGAAACCAATATCATAGTTTGCTTAATCATGTGTTAGAGATGAGATTATGTAATGTATGTAATGCTTAATTGTATAAGGATAATTTGGATTAATCTTCGCTTAGTTGGTTAATTTCGGGTTAGAATAAGGGTTAAAGCAATTTAATTTCGTAACCTAGGATAAGTGACACTACATTCGAATCAGGAAATCAATTGTTTTCTCATTGTTTTATTTAAATTCTATTTTCGTTAATTTACTATTTATTATTACGCAAACCCCTTTTCTTTTCAAATTTAATTACTGTACTATTTTATTTTAAAACAATTTTTTATTCTTGCAATTTTTATTAAAAGCACTTCATTTTAATTTTATAAATTTTAGTTATTTAAATTTTGCATTAATTTATTTCTCTTTCACTCTTTCATTCATATTTTATTTATTGTATTAGAGAGAATGCTACATGGTAATGAGTACGTTCCTATAATTGTGTCCTTGTAATTGATTTCTTGTAATAAATTAGGAGGATTTGTAGGGTTAATAGTTTTATACAAAATTATGTATATTTAAGGTATATAGCCTAAAAGAAATACAATAGAAATATTTTTCTTTCAAAATTACTATGATGTCAAAGTCTATTTTAGCGATGTTGGGACATAAAAAAACATCATCAAGGTGAAGGAGTGTGATGAAAAATCCCCATAAAGGGAGAGAGAGTGATAAAAGGATCCTCTCTAAAAAAAGTATGATAACATTATAATATACAAGTTAGTATATAAGAAAATACAATTCTCACCACACTGACAACTTTTGTAAAATTAAATTAAATATCTCAGCATCTTTAATATTTTGTTAGTCCTAATTTCTTTTTCATTTAATATTTCTTTGTTGACCTTTTATGCTTCTTCCCCTTCCCAAATTTTGCAATAATTTGTTTATAGACCCTTAATCGTTTTGCTTGTACCAACTTAACTTAAGAAATGAAGTCAATCTTGTCAAGTTAACAACACCAACAATCTTGTACTAACCTAACTAGTGTAAATTTCTCTTATATTGATAATACTAACTTTATAGTTGGAACATGGTTATTTTATCTCTGCACTATATCTTAATATTTCTATATATATATATATATATATTGAATTCCAACATCTACTACTGAAATCATTTTTCCTACATCCCATATTTACTCAAAAAGTCAATGGTACCTATGTGTTTCGGTGTTTTAAGTTTCTAGATTGATGTTTGTTTAAATTTTAGATTAAACAATTCAAAATACATAAAAATAGTATTTATTAAAGTTCCATATTAGTAAATCTGGAATTGAATTGTTGCTTCTATTAATTACATTGTAATTCAATTGGAATTTTAAATTTGAATGATAATAATAATAAAATAATAATTAAAATAAATAATGTTATAAAATAATAATAATAATAAACTAGTAATAAATAATGATAAAATATTATAATAAATAATAATATTATTATCTTTATTATTATTTTTATTTTGTTTATTATTTTTATCATTTGTTATTTTTTAATTTGTCTATTTTATTATTATTAATTATTACCTTTATTTTATTTATTATTATTTTATTATTATTATTATTATTATCGGGATTTCATATTGTAATTAAATTACAATGTAATTGATTGAAGGAACACTTGAGTTGGACGTGTTCGATTTTCTTTATCAGAAAATTGTCGGATTCATTAATCCAAATTTATTTTTAATCCACTAATCTTAAATTTTAATACGTACTGTTTTTATATATTTCAGATTACTTATTCCAGAATTTAAAAAAACGTTATACAGTTTTTTCAAATTTATAATTCGAAAACTCTAAAATACGAAAACGAATAAGAATAATATTGTTTTTTAAAATAAATATGGCTGCAGAGGGTTGAAAGAAGAATGTATAGGCTACTATTGTAAATACTCTGACTCAAAATCTATTAATCTGGATAAAAATAATTTGAAAAAAAAAAATAAGACAGGTGTCAAAAATCCAAAGAATATATGGGGACAGTTCTATAGTATCAAAATTTGACAAATTTGGTCCGTCAAGTAGGTAATAACATACTTATACATAATTTTGCACAAATGATCACCAGCTCAAAAACTCAAAAAAGTTTTACATATGAATTTTGTTGTGTATCATCCGAATTCAGGACAGTACATCAACCCGTTCACTGAAACAAGATATATATGAATTAAGAGAACAACTTAACTTTTGGAAATGGATGAAATATAAACTATATTAAGTATAATTACTTTCATTCAATAAATATATTTTCTAGTTATAATTATACATTATTCGACTCTTTATCAATATTCTCGTATCTTATTATATAACATATCATTCTTAAATTCTTACAAGAATTTAAATTCATATTAGTAAATTACATTACACTTATATATTTTTTATTTCTTAAATATATAACTTTTTTTTAAATTATAATTTAAAACATATTATAATTAATCTAATAAACATATAACTCTTTTAAAACTATAATTTCAAACTCCACAAATTTTAAATAAAAAGTTATAGTTTGACGTATATTTTTTATTCACAAATTTTTTATTTAATGTAAAAAGAATTTCAAAAATATTAATACATTATTTTTCCTATCTATAACTTATTTTCATTTCTAAAATATAAAACATATATATATCTTCCAAAATATTACAAAACACAAAAAAAAATACATTTCAAAAATATAATTTTACATAAAAATATTATTTCATCTTATATACATAAAATTTTTAAGATTTTTATTATCCTCCTAATTTATTATTAATTTCTAAAAAATTATTATAATATCAAATAAATCAAAGAATTAAAAAAATAATCATAAAAATAAAATATAAATATAATATTTAATAATATATTAAAAATATTATTTTATTATTTTCAACCATAAATCTAAATATATTATTAATCTAATAAATATATAATTTTTTTAAACTATAATTTAAAACTATAAATTTTAAATAAAATATTATAATATATATATATATATATATATATATATATATATTTACTTAGTTTTTCTTTCTTAACAAAATAAACAAAAATTAAAAAAAAAAAAAACAATTCAGAATTTGTTGCCTGAAAACCAAATTCTAAATGGTTAAAAAAAATGTAACCATAATCAGGTTTCGTGCATCAAGGAATCGAATTCTCAATTTAAAAACTTATGTAAGTAAATAAAACCTATATTATTTGAGTAATTAAAAACTAATGTGTGCCACATAAAAAATTTATCATTTCTCTAGATTGATGTTTGTTTAAATTTTAGATTAAACAATTCAAAATAAAAAAAATATAGTATTTATTAAGGTTCCATATTAGTAAATCTGGCAATTGAATTGTTGCTTCAATTAATTACATTGTAATTCAATTGTAATTTTAAATTTGAATGATAATAATAATAAAATAATAATTAAAATAAATAATGTTATAAAATAATAATAATAAATTAGTAATAAATAATGTTAAAATATTATAATAAATAATATTAGTATTATCTTTATTATTTTTATCATTTGTTATCTCTTAATTTGTCTATTTTATTATTATTATCTTTATTTTTTATTTTTTATTTTGTGTATTATTTTTATCATTTGTTATCTTTTAATTTTTCTATTTTATTATTATTATTATCTTTATTTTATTATTATTATTATTATTATTATTATTATTATTGGGATTTCATATAGTAATTAAATTACATAATTGATTGAAGGAACACTTGAGTTGGACGTGTTGGATTTTCTTTATCAGAAAATTGTCGGATTCATTAATCCAATTTTATTTTTAATTCACTAATCTTAAATTTTAATAAGTACTGTTTTTATATGTTTCAGATTACTTATTCCAGAATTTAAAAAAAAACGTTATACAGTTTTTCCAAATTTATAATTCGAAAACTCTAAAATACGAAAACGAATAAGAATAATATTGTTTTTTAAAATATATATGGCTGCAGAGGGTTGAAAGAAGAATGTAGGCTACCATTGTTACTAAGTACTCTGACTCAAAATCCATTAATCTGGATCAAAATAATTTGAAAAAAAAAACAAAACAAAACAAACAAGACAGGTGTCAATAGTATGTACCACATGTGAAGGGAGGGGATATGATTTTTGTTGAGTGGCATTCTTCCATGCCAGTGCGAAGATTAATATCCATGTCCTGAGCCAGTCAGTACCTCTATTTCCTTTCTGAGTTCAGTTCTCTCTCCATCTGTAACAAGCCAACCTTCACTCTAATCTTTATCTCTGCACCTACGCCAAGCATGGCTACAATCACCAACAATTTAATATTCAAACCCCCGATCTCTCTTTCCCCACCCCCAAAGCTTCTTCCTCTTCTTCCCCATCACTCTTCTCTGCCTTTTCTCGCTAAAAACCCCTCACCAAGGATACAAACCAAACCCAATTCTCATCACCATACACGGCTAATTCCCAGAGCCACGGCGGCTCCAGGCGCCAAGAAAACAGAGAAGAAAGAAAGAGTTCAGCGAGTCCACAGCATCGAGGAGTTCGATTCCGCGCTTCAGTCCGCGAAAGAGAGGCTGGTGGTGGTGGAATACGCGGCCAGCGACAGCGAGGAGAGCAGCCAGATATACCCTTTCATGGTGGAGCTGAGCCGAAGCTGCAGCGACGTGGAGTTCATCCTGGTGATGGGAGACGAATCGGAGAAAACAAAGGAGCTCTTAAAGAGAGAGAAGGTGGAGAATGTGCCCCACTTCAGCTTCTACAAGAGCAAGGAGAAGATCCACGAAGAGGAAGGTATCGGTCCAGACATGTTGGTGGGTGACGTGCTATACTACGGGGACAGCCATTCCGCGGTGGTGCAGCTGCACAGTGTGGAGGACGTTCAGAAGCTGATAGAGGAGCACAAGGTGGACCACAAGCTCATCGTGCTCGATGTGGGACTCAAACATTGTGGGCCCTGCGTTAAGGTTTATCCGACAGTGGTTAAGCTGTCGAGGCAAATGGACTCGGTGGTGTTCGCGCGGATGAACGGGGACGAGAACGAAAGCTGCATGCAGTTCTTGAAGGACATGGAAGTTGTGCAGGTCCCTACCTTTCTCTTCATCAGAGACGGCAACATTGAGGGCAGGTACGTCGGCTCCGGTAAAGGGGAGCTCATCGGGGAAATTCTCAGGTACCAAGGGGTGCGTGTCACTTATTAGTTCTCACTTCTTATTTAGTACATATATAATGCATGCTCACCTGTCTCTATTATGTTAATTTGAAGAGACATATTCAACATATGTACCAGTTGAACACTTGAGAGCAAGAAATATTCAATCCTATTTTTGTTTCCTTTCTGTTAACACCTTATTGAATAATCTTTAGCCCTACTTTACTTCATATTTGGTGGTTAAGGCCATGGGCTGGGATGCAGAACGTGGGAGGTTGTTCCCAGAAATATATTTTGGGCAGTGTTAAAGACATGAAATTAGTTTATTTGTGAAATATATTGTTTGGGGAAATAATATTTTGACACTTAGGTTTTAAGCGATACTAAGAAAAAAGAAAGAGAAAAAAAAAAGTATAATAGATAACACATGTAGAAAATAGATATGTAAAAGTATTCAAATATAATAATTCTTTCTAAAATTTAAGTATGGATAATTTTGGTCTTTTCAAGTTTTTTAACAAATTAACTTCTTTTACTTAAAATAAATTTGGTTTCAACTTCAATATTTTTTTTATTCAAATAGTCGGAGACTATGATATGTTTCAGATAGAGAATAACTTTGATGTTTATGAATAAAAATTGGTAAAAAAGTTTATAAATATAATGAAATGAATAAGATGTGAGGTTATAGTTTGAAAAATTAAAAGAAAACGTTATTTTAACCCGAATTTGATATTTTATTTTAAAATTTTAAGCAAAGGAAAAAATATAATAATTCAATTGATCAAATTAAAAAAAATGGATAGCGACTACAAGAATAAATTAGAAGAAATTATTAAATAAAACTTAATTCTAATCGTTAGAAATTAAGAAATTAAACTTATTTAAAAATATTAAATATTAAAACTGCAATTAATTTTATTAAAATATGTTGGGCTTGGTCGGCCTGATCGTGGTTTCACAAGACTACTTCAGAGTTCGGCCTTCGGGAGTGTGTCTCAGGTGGGCTAGATCCAATGTTGGGCCTATGTTGTGAACGATTGGTTTCTGCGACATTCTTCCTCTATCCATAATTTCTTTTTTCACCCCATATTTATTTATTTAAAAGAATAATATGAAAACATATTTTTGACTAAAGATTTCGGTAATATATAATTTTTTAAAGTTCTAGAATATAATTTTATTATTTTGAAAATATTAATCCCGAAAATTAAATTCATAAATTATTTTTCACATATATTATTTAAATTCTAGATTTATTTAATCAGAAACTTTCTCTAATGAAATTTCTAAAAATATTTCAGATTAATCTTTCCGGAAACTAAGTGTTCTGATATGAAAAACTGATTCGGAAATGTTTTAAAAAAGTTTCTGAGAAGATCCATATGAAACATATTCGAATAACTCTTCAAAGAATAAATCCATAATCTATTTATATTGAAAAATAATATTGTCTCTTCAGAAAAACATGGAAGAATAAAGTATTTGGTCTATGTTTTGATGCTTCATGTTTTATCTTATACTTGAGCAAATAATTGTCATAGCTTTTTGTATGATTTGGTTGTAGCAAAACTGTGTTAATTGTTTTGCTCCCGAAACACTCCGTTAAGCAGAAACGCGTGTTACTGACACATGGACGTTAAACGCCCGTGGATTTAATTATTCAGCGTAGAAAACAAATCTTGGAGCCAAATTAAAAAACAAAAAAATTGGGAGATAGACAGTATTTTTATTTTTTTAAATATAATGTATTTCGGATATACATAAAATGATATTCTATTCTTAATTTTTCGACAAACATCAATGTTTCATTCAAAAATAAAAATATCTTAATCTCATAATATAATATTATTATTAAGAATAATTTCTCATTTTAAAATTTTAATCCGTTTTATCCTTAAAAATACTTAAGTTAATTAAAATAAATTATGTATATAAATCATTATTAAACTTAACTACTGAACTATACAAAACCTAAATTAATTAAGATATTATAATTTTGTTATTTTTGTTTACCCAAATAACTATCTATTATTTTTATATACTAAAGCCCTGTGTATATAGCGAGATATCGGTTATCCTGTATCATTATCTTACCTATGATACATTGATTTTTTTTTTTTTCATTCTACTGGTTGAGAAATTGTTTATCCGATTTTTAGTTAGCTTTTTTTCTTAAATATATATATAGATATTTAAATTCTTTTATTTTTTTATAAAAATGTAAATATATATTTTAATATTTTTAATTAATTTAAGTTTGGTTTTTCAATAAATACAATATTTTAATATTATTGATTAATTTGATAATTTAATTTAATAAATATAAATATTTAAAAAGATTTTATTATTAATATTATAAAGGTTTCCCAACACTCTTTAATATGATGAAGTTTTTCTCTTTCTTATCCAAGAAACGATTTATTGGGCATTTAAATGCTACCATAACTTAAAAGTTCATTCAAATTCATGTTTTTATAATTGTAAAATGAAAAGACGGGAAAAATAGCTCATTCACAATAAGACAAATTTTAAATTCTTCAAAAAGAAGAAAATTAGAAAAAAATATTGTGACTAAAGATGTTTTATGTACAAAAATAAATATCCTTCTCCAGAAACTCTCCCTACAAGTTGATAGAGCTATAAAACTCATCTCTACTCTCAACCTCAATGATGATGAAGAAATAGAATTCATATACTCTTAATAAAGTTTTGCAGATAAAGAAACCGTTTTTGCCCTTTTTATACCTTCTAATGAAAAAGAGTCTGATAATTTAGAATTAGAAAAAAACACTACAAGAAAAAATCATTTTAGCTACCGAAAAAATCGGTCGCTAATCAGTTAGCGACCGAAAGACGTCATCGCAAAAAGCCAAGTCGCTAATGTGTTAGCGACCGATTTTCATTTCGGTCGCAAAATAGCGACCGATTTTATTTTGGTCACAAAATAGCAACCGAAATTAATATATTAAATTGGTCGCTAAATTGGTGGCAAAGTTAAAAAAATAGCGACCGATTTAAATAGGTCGCTAAATCAGTGGTAAAGTTAAAAAAATACGGACCGATATATATTGGTCGCTAAATCAATGATAAAGTTAATAAAATAGCGACCGATTTATATCGGTCGCTAAATCAATGAAAAAATTAATAAAATAACGATCGATATATATTGGTCGCTAAATCAATGACAAAGTTAATAAAATAACGATCAATTTATATCAGTCATTAAATCAATAACAAAGTTAATTATTTTTATTTATTTACATTTATTTACTACCACCTTTCTCTATTTATCTAAAGACTCCCCTACCTCTTTTTATATTATATTCTTCTTATTTATTATATTTTTTAGAAGTTTGACTTATTATTATAAGATAATTGTCATTGTCATGATTCGAACCGAGTACCTTAGAGTTGGAGGCGGAAAGACCAACCTTTTTTAATAATAACTTACAAATAAATTATATTTATATATTTATATATTTATATATTTGTATATTTATATATTTGTATATTTATATATTTGTATATTTATATATTTATATATTTATGTATTTATATATTTATATATTTATACATTTATATATTTAAGAAAACATTAAAATTTAAATATTAAATTTTAAAAATAATATTATATTTTTAAAAATAAATATTAGAAAAAAGTTTAAAAATATATATAAATTATATTTACATGTACAAAATATTAAAGATATATATTTATATCTTTACATATTTATATATTTATATCTTTATATTTTTATATCTTTACATATATTTATATCTTTATATCTTTATATTTTTACCTATATTTATATCTTTACATATTTATATATTTATATAAAAAAATATAAAGATATTAGTTTTGTATACAAATAATATTATAGTATAGTATATATATTATATATTAGTATAGTATACAAATTATTAATTTTGAAATGTATACACAATGTAATTTATACACAATGAAAATAATATAATAATATAATGGTATATTAATATAGTATAGTATATTTGTATTTTAATTTTTAATTAAATTAAAATTACGTTAATAATGTATAATAATATATGAGGGGATAATAAATTTAATTTAATTACTTTTATAAATATATAAATATAAAATCTATAAATACAAATATATTTATATATTTATATTTATATATTTATATATTTATATATTTATATATTTATATATTATATATTTATATATTTATATATTTATATATTTATATATTGATATATTTATATATTGATATATTGACATATTTATATATTTATATATTTATTTATATCTTTATACATTTATAATTTTATATATTTATATATTTAAAAAAATTATAAATTTAAATATTAAATTTTAAAAATAATATTATATTTTTAAAAATAAATACTAAAAAAGGTTTAAAAATATATAAAAATTATATTAACATGTACAAAATATTAAAGATATATATTTATATTTTTACATATTTATATATTTATATCTTTATATCTTTATATATTTATATCTTTATATTTTTACATATATTTATATATTTATATTTTTACATATTTATATATTTATATCTTTATATATTTATACACATATATATATATATATATATATATATATATATATCTTTATATATTTATAAAATCTATAAATACAAATATATTAATATATTTAAATATTGATATATTTATATATTTATATATTTACATATTTATATATTAATATATTTATATATTGATGTATTTATATATTTATATGTTTATATATTTATATGTTTATATATTTATATGTTTATATATTTATATGTTTATATATTTATATCTTTATATCTTTATATATTTATATATTTTTTTATACATTTATATCTTTATATATTTATATATTTAAAAAAATGAAAAATTTAAATATTAAATTTTAAAAATATTATATTTTTAAAAATAAATACTAAAAAAGGTTTAAAAATATATATAAATTATATTTTCATGTACAAAATATTAAAGATATATATTTATATCTTTACATATTTATATATTTATATATTTATGTCTTTATATATTTAT